GAAACGACAAATATTCTTTGGCTATATATATATATATATATATAGTAGTGGGAAAATTTTCCGAGCTGGGCTCAAGAGAGAAAGAGAGAGCGAATGCTTGCAGTAGTCCGGACACGTAGCCTTGGGCCTCTCACGGAATATTAGCCGGCGCGCCGCGCGCCCGTGCATACTGTATTAAGCCCCTCGGGCCACGAGCACGTCTCCATTTTCTATATACTGCCTCTGCTGCGTGCTGGTGGTGCTGCAACATTTACTTAGACGGTGCTGGAGTGATTTTTGAGATGGGTTAGGGTAGGGAGGGTGGAAAATCCGTAGTTGGGTAATTCAGATAATAAACGTTGTTACATTTTAATAATTTTTATTCCATATTTTCAAACGATCAGCTAGCTTCTATTGCATAAACTTTCAATGTCAAATGAACTACACCTTGGTTATTACTCTTCACGAAAATGCTCGTATGCAATAAAAACTAATGCATCTCCGATACAACGTTCAAGCATTACTATTCCGTTTCATTGGAGAAATGTCAAATTTATTCGCTTTTTCATTTACTAGGCTAGCATATTGCTAATTTTGTACGCGTTTTCCCCAATATCTCATGCCTAACGTATACTCTCAGCAAGCAAAAACCACATCAATTTCTCCAGCCAAAGCCGCCATTTTGGTGAACGCTATTGAACGTTTCATAGCTGCAGCTCATAGCGCAATAAACATGCGCCGCTAGGCAAGTGTATACATGTTCCGAGCGGAAAGAGAGGTTTATTGACGGACGCGCATATTTCATAGGTGGTCTCTCTCTCTCTCTCTCTCTCTCTCTCTCTCTCTCTCTCTCTCTCGTCAAAAATGTTTTTTTTAGCGCGCGCGCACGTGAGTATCGGTGGCCGACGTCGACGCCGTGCCCAACGCAAATACTCTTGTATTCATGAATCTCCAACCACGAGACCCTCGAGGGACGTGTGCGATAGAGCGGTCGGGGAAAATGAAAAAAAAAATACGTTGACGTGAGTGTGCGCGAGAGAGGAAAAATTACGTAAGAGTGCAGCGGCAGATCTCGTGTTACTTGTGTTGGAATTAAAAAAAAAAAGTGATTTGGCTATTGAAATCGTAAAGTACATTAAAAATTATTATTCATCAGATTTCATTTAAACAAAATGGCTTTCTGTGACTGGAGAAATCCCTTGTTCACAAAAGACTTCTTTTTTGCGAGAAAATTGGTACGGTTTTGTGTCAATATCCATCTATCGCATAAGAGTAAATGACAAAGATATTAGAAGAAAGTGCTTTTATCCGAGAATAAATTGAATGTCAAATACGAAAGAGAAAAAAAGAGGGGGAGAGAGAGAGAGAGAGAGAGAGAGAGAGAGAGAGAGAGAGAGAGAGCAAACTTGCGCCATGAAAATTTTCAGGCAACACTTCAGCAGTTTGCTGCACACCTATATTCCACGAAAATGCTGCCACACCAGCCCCTTGGCATTTCAGCTCTGCGACGCTCGATAAAGTCCATCTGCGAATGCGACGCTTCGCAAATTTCTCTGTTTAGAGCCTCGTTTTATCGCTCGCAAAACTTTCTCTCGCCTTACGCGCGCATTATTTTATACGAGTCTCTTCTTTGCGCGTTTGTGTATGTCAACGTGGCCGTTTAATTTGAAAAGGAAAAAAAATAATTAAAAACTAATAAAATTTATACAAAATTGAATACGAATTTTCAGTCTTAAATTAAAATTAGTAATGAAACTTTTTTGATGATGTTTAACTATTAAATACAAATTTGGAATTGAATGTGATGAACAATTTACATTTTCTTATAATTGGCTAGTGAATGAAAATGCCATTCGAAAGTAGCGGGCTCCGAGACCGTACCCTCGCTCCGCCATTTTGGGAAAGTCGCTGACTGTATTTTATGTACAGTTTTCAGTGTTCCAACCGATTTCATCGACACGAAGACAACGAAATTTTTTTGCAATTAAGTTAATGGTTTTCGAATTACTATCTGCATAAATTTCATTGCGAGTTAAAAATTGTTTTTGCCAATTTGATTTGGTCTGGTTTTTTATGACATTTGGCAAGATATTATTTTTTATACGTCATGTATAGTACAAGATAATAAATTGGTAGTACTTCATATTAATTCAATATCTCTCCTCTAGATCTGTTGAACAATGTTTAGTAGATTAGAACCAAAGTAAGTTTCAATGTAACCTCCAATGCAAGTGCCAGTCATTTTCTCTTCAAGTTTACAAAGCGCAACAATCACGCAATAGCAATGATAGTGATTTTCAGAATACTTCTCATCAAAGCGTTAGATCGTACAACAAATAATTTACTCCGCATCGTAATAACACCTACTCAATTTTTTCTGTTTCAGTTCAGAAACAAAAGCAATTCATCTCTCACAGCACACACGCATGCAGTGAGTACATTTCTCCGCGTGCACATTTCATTTGTCTCGATTCGCTGGCAATCGTGGAAACAATAACAACAACTCATCGTTTCGTAAATTACGAAAAAAAAAGAAAAAAGAAAAGAAAAAAGGGCACGCAGGCAAGCAAAACGAACGAGAGCTGGAGAAAACCGAGTGAATGCGAAACAAGAGCGAGCGAAAAATGACTTCAGTGGCAATCAGGTAAGTGAAGTTTACTCCAGGGAGCGACGGAGCGTTAACGTGGAAAACGGAATTAACGTGCGCGCGAGCGCGCACCGGGAGCACGAGCGAGCGAAAAGAAAAAGTGCGCGCGCGCTCCGGGAATTTTATAAATGCGTATATAAGTGCGCCGATACCGCCGTGTCGCCGCACTTCTTGGCCTCTTTCCATCACCGCAATCAGACGTTAATCTCCGCGCTTGAGCAATTTTCCTCGCCATTTGTCCTCGCCGAAGATGTATCTGTGAACCTCTTTCTTTCTTTTTAACGGCTTTCGCTAATTTGCTATGTTTCTCTGAGAAGATCATCGTTTACATAAACTCGATCAAAGTGAGTATTTCAAAAATAGCACTTTGTATCGAATGAAAAATCAGACGGTAAAGCAACGACGACGAATGTATTTGACGCTGAAGTTTGCAAGACAAACGAAGCTTTAAGAAGCCGTAAATCGTACCCCGTCCCAGCAATTCTCCAGGATTTAAGCTGCGAAATGTGACTGGCGCTATATTATTTGGCAACGCGCGTAAGTATCTTACATACCAAGCGTAACGTCGTCGATTTACACCCTCCCGAAATCGTCGCATCCCTAAGAAAAAATCCTCCGAGCCGCGCCCTTATGTTTCCCGTCGACGCGTGGCTTTGCTCCCATTAGCATGTACATTTAAAATGATTAATTCACGAGGCCAACGGAAAAACGGAACTTGGATCTTTCTAATAAAATTCGTAGTCTCGTCAAGTGGAATCGAGTTTGCGAATACAGTATGAGTGTATGCAAAGTGGGGTGTGCAACATCGAAAGACGGCGCAGAGACAATGATTTTGCTGCTTGGTCCGTTATATAGCTCGCTAGGGAGGAGAAACAAGGCGCGCGAGAGTGGCAAAGTCTAATTAAAGCGCAGCGACAACTTAAATTAAAACACGATAATGTCGCTCTCCATAGCGCTTGCGAGAGCGTCGTCGTCGTGCAAGTCGCTCGATTTTGTAACAGTGTTTACCTATATACAAGAGAGGCAGCGGCCCTTACTCGCCCAAGTTTCTTCGCTTTTTCGACAACTTTTGCTATGTTGTAATCCTTTCCAGGCCAGAAACTAGTTGTCGAAGTGTCTCTCCAGTGTTTCTCTCTTGCGTACAGTTGAAAGCGACATGCCAATCCATTACCACACCCTCTTTCACCCTCTTCACGTGGACTCTCTCACTCACGCTCTCTCTCTTTCTTTCTCTTGCACTTGTGCAAGAGAGTTTCGTACGAGGCATTAACTTTGCATTTCGTCGTTGCTGCGGAAAATTCAGGTTATATCATGATTTTACATCATGCGACGCTTGAAATATTTCATTTGATTGTTTTTGTTGCGATTGCTTATTGCGCGTTCGATTGTTTTCATTGATTTTTACATGAAGATAAAATAAATACAGTCGAAGGTTTTTAATATAAATAACTACAGAAAAAAAATAAGATCGAAATTACTAAAATTTATACAGGTCTTTAATTTTGTTTCATTTCAACAGCTTCAATTTTTTAAAGTTACTCAAACTCGAGTTGTACTATACAAGAAAATCAGAGTTTGTTGCCATCTTTCATGAATATCCAAACTAATTTAGATTTTTCTGTGAAGATTCATCGGTAAAACATCAATAATTACCCAAATAATTACTGGAAAAACTTACTATTTAACATCGATTGGAAAACCTCACGACCCGACCTAATCAACAGTGACAAATTAACTCCAGTCGTCCGAAAATACACAGACATACATACACACACACACACACACACACACACACACACACACACACACACACACACACACACACACACACACACACAAAGAATAGAACTCGCAAACAGCGAGTGAAATCAAGCTTTCTGTCGTATCAAAGAAAAGGGTCTCTCTTTTTTTCATCATACTACATCGCCATGCGCTCACACACGCGCGACAAGCACATTGGCATTTTCCGCTCTGAGAAAGGGTTGTTTTTTTTCTGTCGATTCTATACTATGCTTTGACACACTGACACCGAAGGCAAGCCATCGTTTCGTTTTCTGATAAATAGACCGACGCCGACCTGACAATGTAACACAACTGAACACTGCCCCAAAAGGCAGCTTTAATTTCCTCTCTCGCTCTCTGCTCTCGTTGCAATTACGACTACGTCACAATGACCACTGACTGCTACACTGTTGCTCACCTTTTTTCGATTGTGTTTTGAGATGGATCTTTTTTTATTGATGGCGTGGTTTTATGGGTTGACGAGTATTCACTTTTTTTTGCCGAGCTTTATTTTTTTATGAATTTTAATGCAAAATTTATTTAAATAATATTTTGTTGTTGCATAAGGCAGGTATTGCATAACTATAGTATATATTGCGAAATTGCTTTAATTTTATTGATACAATATTAATATTGTTAATATATCATCATTTACAAATAACTGTTAGACTGATATATCAGTCGCGTAATCGTACAAAATATATCATAATCAATACATTTATACAATCGAAAATAATCTGAAAGTTTTTTATAGCACTAGAACGTATAAATTCAAAAAAGAAAGACGAAATATAAGACAGATATAATTACACATTAAAAATCTTACAAGTTCTGCGTCGTACATTGTATAAAATTCAAAAATTGATGAATGATCAAAAATCGAAACGTCTTTAAATCAGTCTCGTTCATTCTTTTCTACGTCATAAAATATCGAAACGATCAAAACCCCAGAATATCTCTTAAATTCAATATGTCATCACTATAAGACTCGAAAAAAATTTGACAGTAAACGTTGAGCGAACCATCTACAACGAACGGACTATTGTCTTGCCGCACCTTGTCTTGTTGCACCAACTGAACTGCTTGTGTTATATTTCGTGCTGGATGAAAGGACATTAGCATGGTAGTAAGTTCAACGAGCTTCTCGTTTCGAGCCCCCAAGATTCCGAAGCTGTAGCCAACTCGAAACTCGTATCCGTCCAAATTCACGAGATTAATCGTTATCGATTGACCTTCCGGGAAAGGCTCTTGACCATTCGGATATAATTTCAATTTCCAACGAGTAAGACGATCTCTAGGTTGATGAATGGAAAACTCGTGCGACAGGAACGATTCACGCCCGATGTTGAAGTATCTTTTAATGTCTTTTATCGTCCACTTCCACGTTGCTGCGTCGGCAGTCTCCTCTATAAGGATAGGCTCGCCAACATTTTCGAGTATTTGCATTTTCACAGCTGCGAAACAAACATGTGTATTTCGACATAACCTCCCGAATTCATGTCCAATCACAGTATCTTGTCGAATCTTAATGCGAACGATATTGAAACGTACCTTCAAAGTGTGCCTTCTATGGCCAACGGAACACGAGAATACGACGGATTTTTGTCAATCTACAACGTAATGTTGTATCTTGCCTGTATCTCTACGTGTAATACAATATTACAGATGTGCTTTGTTGACCAAGAACAAGCCGGCGATGTTGTGATTGAATGTCAACACTTGGTTTAAGAGAAGCTCCACGAATTTGGGTTCATTACTTATTATCGAAATTTCGTTTTCGAGATAAATCGCCACATGATGAGTCGTTGATAAATGAAAAATCATCCGATTTGTTCTTCAAACTGAAAAATTCAACTTGCATTTTCTTTCGTTCAATTACTATTGATAGTTGCAATTTTTTCCTTCGTTCGGCAATTGACAAGATAAAACCTATAAAGTAGTTGCAGTTTCGATTCATCAAGCAAAACTTGACCAATCAATGAACGATCCATCCACTCTGTCATATAAAGAAAAACGCAACGCATCAGAAATAAACTATGGCAGATCATCAGCCAGTAATCCGCGTTTTGACATGCACGGCGCGAAAGAGCCCTCAAAATTATCATGCCGCGCGTATTCCGACCGCTTAATGATCGCGAATTGGTAATGGCGAACGTGCGCATGCGCGAGTGCGCGCTTCGTTTTGAATTTTCATTGAGTGCTCTCTCGCTCTCTCTTTCCCTCTCGTACGCATCTATACGTAAATTTATGACGCCGCGCGCGCACGTGTTTCATTGGAACGGGCGTTTTTCGCGAATGCACACAGATAGTCGGGACGATCTTGGCTTGTGGCGTCAGCTCGTCTCCGAGCGAAATTCAAGGCACACGGTCGGCCTCGTCCAGCTCGAAACTCGGACGCAACGTCGCGCGTCTCGAGGATACGTATATATACGTCGTCACGTAGGACGAAGCCACACGCGCGCGGATGAAGCGCATTAATCAAGCGCGGGTCACGATGCGCGTCCTTAATCCTTCTCCCCTCTGTGCCTTGTGTGAAATTCATTCTCGCATATAGTATAATTAAAGCCATCTCGTTTCCCTCCAGACGCCCACTCGCTTGTTTCATTCCTTCGATTGACTTTCAGCCATTATCCAAATGCCATTGGTTCAAGTCGTTACAGCTTAACATCAAGCCATTATAGATTCTCCGAGAGTATCTCGATGTCTCTGTGCTTACATGCGATGCCACGCTGCGGGTCCAGTCTGAAAATGCAGCGAAGCAATGTGCGCGTTGCACTGCGCGTATCGAGACAAGTGGATGAGGCCTTTACCCCTCTATATACATGCGTGTAGAGAGAGAGAGAGAGAGAGGGCCCTTCAGTCCACAGACGGCAGCGGCAACATTACGCTGATTGCCTTGAATTATCCGTGGCTGCTCGTGCGCTGCATACACACATACATACATATGCGTTGCCTCTCTCCGGACTAATGGCCGAGTGGATCGCTTCCGATCGTCTGTGCACGTTACGTCTGCTCAGCCTAACGTTTTCTGAGAGCGCCTGCAACTGATTCTCATTTGCGAGAGATTCCAGTTTCGAATATAGTTCGCGTACGGCTAATGTATTGCGCAACGAAGAATTTAATTTAATTCAGAAAATACACGACCTAAGATCCAAACTGAAATGAAGACAGCGCGAAAGTCCGAGAGAAGCAAAAAGAGAAAGAAAGAGAGAGAGAGAGAAATAAGGACGATCGCCCCGTGGGTGCAGCTCTTTTCAAAGGACTCAAAATTACTTTCTGGATAAGCTGGATTAGGCTCTCCCCCTCCGCCAGTGGCAGATTAGAGCAGCGCGACACCGTCATTTTTTTTTCTATCTTCCTTTCGCGGATTCTTTCTCGCGCGAATTTCATTATGCTCACCCCATCCCCACACCGAAATTCAAAGAGGTTGTGTGTGTGTCGTCTAATTGAAATTCCAGGTGCACCAGGCAGCATGTAAATGCGGATCTCGTTGTAAATGAGAGGCAAGCTTGCTTGGCACGTAAATAAATGGTCTAGCGACGACTTGTGTTTTAAATTAAAAATATATCTTTTGCAGAATGAAGAGTACAGTGCAAATTACAAAAGTACTTTGGTTGTCGAGCGAATCAACGCATATAGAGGGAAAGAAAGAGAGAGAGAGACTAATCACAGTTAAAAACCGCAAAGCTCAGTGTGGTTAAAATAGTCGCAGTAGGTAGGCAGAGAGAAAAAAAGCGCTGTTTCTCTCCGCGAGAGGTCCCATTCCATTATGAGCGGGCAAAGTGGTTCTCTCTCCCTCAGTAAAACTAGGCACTCCCGATGGTACCAAGTTAATGGATTACTCGAAAAAAGAGAAGAGAGGGAGAGAGAGAGAGAGAGAGAGAGAGAGAGAGAGAGAGAGAGAGAGAGTGGAAAAAAAGGATCGGCATTCGATCGACAAGCAGTAGCACACCGACGACGACTACTGGCAGGCCACATTAGTAGGCACGACATGCGCTCAACTTTAAGAGGGTTGCTTTGTCGAAACGCCGCGCTCTACCCTTTAAAGCGCCGCCCTTTTCTTCGCGAACGCGTATGTGTGTGGGCGCGTACACTCTCTCTTTCTCTGTGTTTTTAACTTTGCGCCAGTTTGCGCGAATAAACTTTTTCTTATCTGCCTTTCTTATTCTTCGTTTTACCGTTGATCTAGAATCAAGCCACTTTTCGATTGTTTCACAGTATATTAACCCAAGAATTTGTATTTTCTTCGTATATAGCATCCTCCATTTCTCCCTTTCTTTTTCACTTCTACGAGCTCCTGGACTCTCTCTCTCTCTCTCTCTCTCTCTCTCTCTCTCTCTCTCTCTCTCTCTCTCTCTCTGTCTGTTTCACTCGAGGGCGAAACCAAGGAGACCAGATTAGAAGGAGAGAGGGAGACTCTCCCATGAGAGTTGAGCGGCGCGTCGGGACCGAGTTAGAGATTTCCTCCTCTGTATTCTACTCGAGACTCTCTCTCTCTCTCACTCCAAAGGTGAAGCTGAGATTTTGCTGCAAAAATTCTGATGGTGCGACGTTTGTTGTTTATTGGAAATCTTAATTAAAAACTTTTTATTCGCGACAACGACTCTTTATTTTCATACTTTATTTTTCAAGCTGGAAACTTAAGAGCAGTAGAGAACTCGAAATGAAAATTTTGTTTTGTTATGCGAATAATATGTACATAGAGAGAACGAGAGGATAAGAGAGATAGAGAGAGAGAGAGGCAAGGCAGATATGATTTGACACGTGGGTTATACCGAGAGAGACTTTCACATCGAATTTTTCTAATTTTTAAATAACATCCTAATGAACAATAAACTGTTATAGCTATATGGTAATTTTGAGTAAAAAGTTCAGTTTTAAGGTGTTTTTCAATTAAAAAAGATCCTTAGGCTGGGCAAGATAGCTTTTAAATTTCAATTTCACATAGATTACAATTTTGGATGTCGAGTAATCATTCTCTCCAGAATTACACTAACAAAAGAGCATTCTACATTTCTTGACAACTTTTTTTCGTGTATGATTTAAAAAAAATAAATCTAACGAGATCTCTTATAAGATGATGATGCCCGATCGTCAATTATTTCCAGAAAAAAAATCAGAAATTGCTGCAGCAATTCCAAAAAAATGGAATTCTACAAAAAGAAAAAATTGGTCTCTCCTCAACGCGGCTATTTTTCGAGAGGAATATATAGCACACGCGAGGGAGAGAGAGAGGGAGAGAGAGAGAGAGAGAGAGAGAGAGAGAGAGAGAGAGCGGGTACGGATTTACGATTCCATTCGAATTTTCTCGTTAATCGTCGCCAGCCGCGCCGCGCACTCGCGCCGCATAACGACGTTTCGGAAAATCCGGCCAAATCCGTTCTCTTTCTCTCTCTCTTTTATCGATCCGCCAGCAGCAGTAGCAGCATCCTACGTGCGCCCAGCTCGTGAAATCGATTGTGTTCGTTAATTACGTTCTATTTATAAAAGTTTTACGTGCAGTACACGCGCACACACACAGATCGCGCGATGTACACACGCGAACAACCAGCTAATTCTGAAACCCCCGAAAGTGGAATTCCAGCGAATTGATCACGTTGCTCGTGCGTTTTGATTTTCACAGTGTTTTAGAATTCTGAGTGGCATTGATTTGTCTTTTTTCATTAAATAGGCTAGTAAAAGCTAGTTAGTAGGTATTTTACGTTTAATTTGCGAATGGATTGGCTATATAGTTTACAGATAATTTGTGATAATTTATGTGACGTAGAATGGTTGCGATATTAAATTGTAATAGCAAAACTACTTTATTCGGAGCTTTCAGTATACTGACGATAGGTGATTTACTTTCTAACTCGGCATCATAAGCAAGCTGAATATTTATCGATATAGAATATAAAATTGTGATTTAAAACGTGATGTAAATTGATTTAAATTGAATTTTGGCTTTCAAGTTAGACTTGTATAATCCTCGATATGATGCCAATTGTCTAGATAATGTTTATGAGTATACAAATCGGCTCGTCTTAGTTTGTATAAACATTACTTTTCTGAATGAAAGGATAGATGAGAAATAAACAGACAAAATTATTTGCCAATTCCGTGACTTATTTCGAAGCTTGAGAAAAGCCGAAAGAGAGAGATAATAGATAGCGAGAGAGTTTCGCCCTGCGTCACTCGCGAAATTTACGTAATGCGCGCAAAGGGGAAATACCGTCGACAGCTAGAGGAGCCTGCCTCTGCTGTTCTGCGCGTGTATAAGAAATTCCTATTCATCGATTTCCGGCAAGTCTCTCTCTCTCTCTCCTTCTCTCTCGTTTAAATTCAGCTGCTTGCTTGCGCGAGCGCCATCGCTATTGTTTCTTCCATGGCCGCCGTTATCGTCGCATATAATCAGACGTCTACTTACACCGGGAAAACTCTCCCCCCCCCCCCCTTCTCTTCCGCTACACGTTTAGTTGTTCTGTTGACGCGCGAATCTTGCTATATCGTCGAGCGAGATAATTCAATTGAAATTTCTCTTTATTTTTGTCCGATTTTTTAGTTATTTGATGAAAATTATCAAGTTATCAGTTTCACTCAATGCCACAATTGAGTTATGACGAGGCAAAGCTTTGTCGTCTTTTGTCAAGTAAAAATTACGCGTGACACATTGGTAGACTTTGAACAATCTGTTATATTTATTACAGCAAGTCGAGTAATGCAAA